TGAGGAGGAAGTGGAGCGGGGGGGGGGGGGGGGGGGTATGGAGATGTGACGGTGATACGCAAAGGAAATGTCGTAGTGTGAGGCAAGGCGAGCCACCACCACCAATAGCCGAACCCTCTCGTCTCTGTAGATGCTTTTAACACCCCACCTTGTTCCAGACGTCCCCGAGCGACTTGTAGACGGTGTATACCACCACCGGCAAGGCAACGCAGCTTCGCGTTTCCAGTTTGTCCCACATCTCGTAGCAAGCGAACACCTTCTCGTCGGACACGAACCGATCCCAAAACGCATAAAATAAGCAGCCAAAGTTAGGCCAGCCGACGGGTACAGCAGTGGTGAGAGGTGTGGAATAGAGAGCCCAGCCCCGGCAAAGACAATCATTCGAGCCCGGCATAATCACCAAAACACGCTCCCGCCGGGTAGCCAGCTGTATTGGCGCCACCAGCAGTAACTATGGAAGATAACAAGCCTAGAATCATTGACTCATGCCACAGGAGCGCTCGACGGTGGCAAGGGCACGGCGATAGACCTTGGTCTTGATCAGCAAAAGTGAGAATTGTTCCGCCCGCCTCTAACGAAGACAAAAATTCCAGCACAAAACGTTCCAGTACCGTATCCAGCACGTTCCAGCACCAGTCCGCATAACGTTCTTGTTTCAGTATACCCCACAGAGGACATTCAAGCCCCCCACATACCCAAACGGCCCCCAACCACCACCTATACGTTCACCCGCTCCCCCGCCGTTGGAACAGAACAAAACAGACATCGCCTCCAGGGCTATACTCGGGGTGGCGCATACTGGCGATATCGCACAGGGTGTGCATTCAATATCATGGAATCCCCAAGCTAAAGACGCAAGCGCAATGCACCTACCTGCAGAATCTTGAGAGGTATCCACATGATGGGGAACACCCAGTTCGGCGGGTTCCACCGAGGCTTGCGCAGGTTCGTGTACCTGGGGTGCGAGGAAAGGGGGAAGGGCGGCATGCCACAATAGGGGAGCACGGTGCTGGGGGGTGAGGCGGGCTAATGTGGCACGAAGCCCTATGCTCCTGCTCTGGGGTGGAGTCAGGTTCAAGCAAGGATGACCCAAGCAGCAACATATGCTATAACAACAGCCTACCAACAACGTGACGGCAGCGGACAGCTGAATCCCTACCTCATTGGCAGTTTGGAACAAGACCATTCGCGACGTTCGAAATAAGAACCAGCTACTAACGCACGGCGCCAAAACAAAGGATGCCTCAGCGAACCAAATATCAATGTCCCTATGACACAAAGCGGCCTTTCCACATCAGAATGTCGCTGGCACTCACACATCGGTAATGTACCTATTGTACGTATCACGTCCACATCAGGCCCCCAAACATACAGAAAAAACAGGCGAAGCCATCACGACATCCGTTGCGGCAACAACCACATCAACAAGAGGAGACAGCAGACACAGCGGTGATCATGCGGCACGTCATGCTGCCGAACCAACAGGCACGCACGCCGACCAACCCACGCACCAGTCCTTCCCGATGGGAACGTCGATGTTGAACAGCTGTGACTTCTCGAGCCACTTCTTTGGCCCCGCCGTGGCGGCCCCGGACACGAACACGGCCGCCGTCCACAGCGCCAGCCTCGCCACCTCCGAGAACTTGGTGTCGGACAGGTAGCGCGCCGCCAGGTACTCCGCAGCGCCGACGAAGCCGACGATGAGACCGCTCTCTAGAGCGGTCTCGACGAGCGCTTCTACCAAGACAACTGGTGTGGTACGCATATATGCGAAACGGGTGAAATGAAACCGAGAGATGAATTTTCAGGGAGCGCGGGGGCGGGGGGGGGGTGGAACTCGTCGGCACGAGGTTGAGTAGGCGAAACGATAAAATGGCTCGCGCCCGAAATATGAAGGGGTGGTGAGAAAATCACCGCGATTCGTGGGGGGTCAAACAATGCGGAGCAGTGCCATTTCTACGGCATGACGCGACCTGTAGGGACCCATCGGTTATGATGTAGCGCGGAGACACAAAGCTTTGAGGCTATCTGGTGCACTGAAGGTCACTGCTCCGCCGGTCTACATGTAAGGTGTCTAGCGCACTTGTAACTCTCGGGATGCATTTGGAGCTGTTGAGAAAGCACATCACGGGGCCTTTGAGGCTCTCAATGTGTAATATGATGGCCAGCCATGAGCCAAGATGTAGCCGAAGGGTGGTAACCGTAAACTCCAATCCACGGCGCTCCTAGCAGGTAGTGTGAGTAGCATCGCGCGTGAAAAATTCAAATGGAGCCTAACCGCGTGGCTAACTGACCTGTATCAGACGTGCGCCCCCCCCTCATTCGCGTCAATCGGTCTTCGCCGGTTGCTCCTGCTGTTACCACCGTCGCAGAGAGCGTGGCACCACCTCGAACCTTGTCAAGTATGTACATTTAGGCGGCACAGGAGGGTGAAGCGGTGTGCATCTCACGATCAGCATATGCCTGTGGTGTAGTACTGGAATCCACGACAGAGTCCCGGAATGGGGCACGTCGACTTTTGGTCGACCAGGTTGTCACAGCTCCAGCAAAGGCGAAGGTTTGTGGTGTGTTCGACGAGTCGCAGTTGGGCGGGGGGGGGGGGGCGATTGCGTCCAAGCAAAGAGAAACGCAACCGCTTGTGAGGCGGAGAAGAAAGGATCATGCCCTTTTCTTCGTCCAGTGTACGTACGTAGCTCACCAGTGGCAATACGGCTAGCACCGCGTGTGTCTACTTGTTACAGTGCGAAAGAAAATATACATACTTGTACACGGCAGCTAATCACAAGGTCCGAGAAAACTCTCTATTGCTCTTCGTTCGTGCTCTGCTGCCGCTTTCTGTGGCGTAACAGTATACCGTAAGAGTCGGAGAGATGGCACCCCCGTGTTCGCGTTTTTTGTATAGCGTACTTCTCCATAAGCAGGGGGGTGGGTATGTACCACTGCCGAAAAGGGTAGTCTTGGAAAAATCTCGTGGAGGGCTTTCCTGAGAGGTATCGGTTGGTGTTCGCACCCTCCTAGTTGTGGAGAAATACGCTACAAAAAAACGCTAACAAGGGGGTGCCATCTCTCCAACTCTTACGGTATGCCTCTCCGTCACCCAGCAAGTCCCAGTGCTGCTGCTGTACAACAGCAATACTACTGTGAAGTACGACGAGGTATTGGCTGCCAGTGTTCAGCGCGTGCCTACAACAAAGCGCAGTACACGACCGGCACAGCAGGGCACGCTGGCAACCAAGTTGCGACCGTAGCTGCACCACGCGAGCGTGCCAATTCACCAGACACTCGGAGCCACATCAAACTGTAAATGCTGCGAATCCCTTTGAGTTTACGAAGCAGTACCTAACCCCGTGCTACCACTCGGTGCGGCGCTACAACTGCAAGCGGGGTTTTGCCGCGAGAAGGCCCTCAAAACTCACGACACGCCGCAACTACCTGGTATGGTATATGGTAGTGTAACACAATTATCCTCCCCTAGGAGCACGGAGCTACGCCGCGACTTGGGCCCAAGAGAGGTGGGGGGCGTGCCCGCCACTGAGGGGTGAGGCATGCTTCGAGTTCTTGGCCAAGAACAGGCATGACTTGGCTGGCCAACACATGAACGGCTGCGTACTGCTGTTGTCGGTCTTTCAAAACCAGGACCCCAGTTCAACATCGCCACGACTCGGTAGCGAAAAAGACACGAAGACGATGATGGCGGTAGCCCGACTGAAAATGCGACAGCAGTAGCCAGAAGGAAATTTTACCTGACTAAGACGCTGAAGTTGGGCTAGCTGCTGCCTGCTCGCACCATTGGGCTGCTGTTGCTGGGACTTCCTGCCTGCTACTGCTACTCTTGAACCGGAGTGGGCAACATGTCGACCTTGCACCGACGAGCTCTGGCCAAGCAGGGCAACCAGCACAGGGACCGCCGTGGCGAAACGCATCGTACAGCGCAGCCCTCTTCCCTCGATAGATAAGATGAGGGACAGCAGTCGGCACCAGCACTCAGCACAGCAGGAGAAGGGGTACGCGTGCGTGAGAGTGTCCTGCTTTCTCACACGTGCCAAGCGCTCGCGGGGGCACCGTGGTGTATGTTTTTCGTTGATTCCACGGGGACCCGGGGTCATTGTGAAACATGCACCACGCCGCTAACAATAACTCGTCGTTCCGTGCTCGCTCGTTGCCGGTTATCACGTTGAAGATTTAACGCTACCTCAACTGTTGAGTGCCAAGGTATCTCTTGGAAGTAGTCCTTGACGTGTTTGTCAACGGGGTTCGAACTAGGTGTAACTACATAACACAATTGTATGTGTGAACAACATCACCACCGATCGATCACGATCCAAGCTGTACATATATCTTGCACATGTATCTTGCATAATAGCATGTAAGGCTATAGTCAAACGTCGAAACCTGTTGATCCGTGTCCCCGCCGCCTAAATAACATGGGAAAGTGAATCCATGTTCATTCGCAATCGGTTGCCAAAAATAGACTAGACTATTCATATGTCACGTGGGGTAACTGATAAAGCATCGGGATACTTGTCGGCGTCGTCTGGGCGCCGTCCTTTCCCTTGATCGCATGAAGTCATGAAGTCGCCCACGACGAAGCAGACAAGAGCGATGACCACCGTATCGAAATAGAGAAGAAAAAACGCCCATACCATTGATTCAAGCTCGCGGCGAGGTTACAGGTGTGCGTACTTACAATGTACGCACGGCAGACAATGGCACCCACCCCGTCCGTGACGTTATCGTTCGTTGCGTGACAGCAGGTCCTCTAGTCTTACGTTACACGTTCGTTCCTCTTCCTCAGCTCTCCTTCCTCGTAGACTGTGTGCGTAGCGTCCCATCACAGTTAACATCTCTACTTGTCGTGCGAGTGAAGATGGCCACCATGCATGGAAACCAGATGCAACAACAGCAGTAGATGTGTAGGAAATCGATCCTTGCCGATTCAATTACTCGTGTTGAAGCGGTCACGACAAAGCCCACGAGCAAGGGAATGGAGAGCGCGGGCCAACGGTAAGCGCCGCATCACCCCCCTCCGCTTTCGAGAAAGGAAAGGCTGGGCGCCTTTACTTCCCTGTAACAGGCACGGACATCGCCGTCACAAATGGGCACGTAAAACGAAAAAATAAGACTACATCATCACAGACAGCCCGTCTAATTCACAGCGAGCGATTCTGTACGCGGAATTTTCTCTACGTGACTTTCTTTACGTGACGGAAAAAGCACACGGGCTCACGTTTTGTAACATCATCGAAAAATCATTGATGATGTGTTGTCGTACTACTGTGCCTGCCGCGTGTGCCCGGACAACACACAACGAGCACCAACAACAGCAGTGCGACAGAGCTTCTTCGGAAAAGACGTTCTAAATACTCCGAGAACACCCCTTGGCACACGGTCTTTCTGCCAGTGGCAGACTTGATGAAACTATTTCGTTCTATCTGAATAACGGCGTTCGCCGGTGGCGCTGAAACCACACACAAACGTAACGACAACTACAAGACGCTGGTCGCACGTCCCTATTTGGAGTTGACACCACGGTGCTGAGACCAGCAGGCCTAAAGTTCTTCAATTCACACTGAAGCTGAGCCTCCCTCTCTAGAGACTAACATGACAGGTTTTGGAACAACAACACGCGTGCGTCCATATATGCATACGAGCGTGTAAATCGATCGTTTATTTCGTCTTGACAGTGATGCCGTCGGTGCCTGCCGAGATGACCGCGAAGGACATGTCCAGGAACAGCCCGTGCTCGACCACGCCCACGGTCTCCAGCATCTGATACGAGTGGCGAGGGGGTCACAGCCGTACAGATCGGGCGCGCGCGCGGGGTGGGTGGGTGGGTGGGTGGGGCGTCCAGAGAGCGTCGGGGTTGGGTTTGTTCCGTACACAAAAGCATCAGGCCTGGCGGTAGACAAACACTCCTCCCTCCACCACGGCGATCGTCTACAGCATCTCGATGCGTTGGCACAGCTGCATCGTACTCAGTATCGTGACTATAATAGGATATTGTTCTGTTACCCAACGACAAACTTAAAACGGCGGTAGGGGGGGGGGGTACCGATCTTCCAACCCTCCTCATTCTTGTGTGTAGACGTTACCTCCTTGCCCGCCTGGTTGGCGTCCTTGATGGGGTCGGTGAAGTACAGGTCGACGATGTAGTTGTCGTTGTCCGTCACGTACGGCTTGCCGTCCTCTTCGCGCAGCTTGGCGTCGCAACCCTGTCGTACATCAATCAACAAAAAGAGTCATCGGGGGGGGGGGGGGGGGGG